ATTTTCAAGTTACATTTGGCTATAGTGGCACAGTGCTAGAGAAAAATAATTGAAAAACTAGCTTTTTTTATTATTTTTATTATTTACTCTCATTAGTCATTTATAAATTACATAGCAGTGTAACGTAAAGGAATTAAAATAAACAAATAAAAGGATAACAGAAAACAAGGAGAAGAAAAAGGGTAAGGCATGTTGTCTTTAAACATTAGTATACATTTATTTTTAAGAATAGTTAAATTTGTTCATCAGTTTCTTATCTTTGTCTGTAATGTTAGTAGGATATATTATTTTATTCGCTAGTATGTTGCTGGGAACGTAGATTATTTTGTTGTTGTTGTATTTTGACAGATGTTTACTATGAATTTGCCTTTGTTGTTTGTTATGTATTTGTTGTTATCTAAATATAAAAAGGCAGATGGTGGAATAAGCCCTGTTTTCAGTGTATTTGCTAAATATAAGTCATTTGTGGAGTATAGGTAGCTTATTAGACCACTTGTTTTGTTACGTATCGCGTCTCTTGTATGTTTTCTAATGATGTTAATAATTTTCTATGCACTCCTTTTACTTGCTCCTCTGTCATCATAAATAATATCGAAAACCACAACTTGGTATTAAGAAGCATAACTATTCAAATAAATAGTTTTTTAAACGAATCTAAACAAATTTAAACAAATATGATGAATTTAAATGGTCATGCTTCTTAAAACCAAGTTGTGGTTCTTAGAATTATTAATATTATTAAAGATGAATAATTGTTATATTCATGCAGCTTATACTCTTTGTATATACATTTTTGTTATTAATTCATTTAGTAAATACTCAGTTTGCTATCCTAAAAACTTTCCTACAGTTTATCGAGCATCTCCTTTTAAATAATCTTATTTTTTCCATCATGCTGGCACTGATGTTGAACCGGCAGGTGCAAGCGTATGTGATAATTGGCCTTATAAGGTATTAATAGGCCGTGATGTTTGTTTTTTTGTCTAAGTAAGGTAAATGCAATAGTTTGTGGAGTAGACAAAAAATATCAGTTGCTTTCTCTGATTGGACTTTACCATATTGAGTAAAGGTTAGTCTGTCGTCAGTATTAACATCAAGATATTTTACTATTCTTTGATGTGGTATATTTATCTTTTTCATTTAACCTTTCATTTATAATGTTCTCCAATTTTTTTGTTATTGTTAACTTTCTTCAAACGTTACATTAATTTATTAATATTTAAATAATATGGTCACATATTTTTTGGCATGAGTGTCAAGTAATCAGCTGTAATACTCTGTAATAGAGAACTTGCATGCAGCAGGATTCAGTCAACTCATACTTTAATTCGCTAGCGTAATGTCAATTGAACATGTATGAGTTATAATATTACCAATATGTAGTGCATCGATCAAGAAATTAATTATTTTCCGAGCACGTTATTAAAGCTCTCATTCAAATCGATATCACGTTACAGTGACGTAAGAACTTCTGAATTCTTAAGGTTTACTCGACTTGCGATTAATGATGTCAGATTTTGCTTTGGGACGTCATTGTTATTCATTGGAATACGCTTCATTCGAAGCAGACAGCAGACTGTTTTTGTTTACTGAGAGAGTTGTTGACACTTGGCGTATCAGTACTAAAGTTATCATGAATCCAAGATTTATTAAAGGAACATCCGAAAATCTACCAAAAGTAGATTTAGATATAATGTTATTTTTTATTTATTCCAATGAGTGCTATAGAAGCATGAAAATGGGTTGCATAAAAACTCAAAGGTTTTGTCGTATTTTAGCATATTGGATTAATTTAAGTTTATACAAATTTACTATAACATAAAGTATTGTAAATCATTTTGCAACCAAGTTTTGAGAAAAGGTTAAATTTTACTGTAACTATAGATAATCAGAAAGTCAAAAAATTCTTTGAAAACACTTATACTTGCATGTACACATCAAAGTGATCCTCACAACATTGACAAAATTTTCTTAATTTTTTTCTGGATAACTTACAGCATAGCACCAAACTTTTTCTTTTAACGGGTTGGTTAGGTCAATTAAAAAATCTTTGATTGATTCTTCGCTGTAGTATTTGTACATCCTGGCACAAAACAGTGATTGTACCAGTTAGAATTAGAATTAACTTATTTTTCGTTTATTTTCCAATTATTTGTTAGATGACAGTTGTACGTACAACCTTATTTATTCGTCATAAGACGCGTGGAAGATGTTTTAGTTCCAGTGATTGCCGCATGATGCTTTTTTACATTGTATAATAGTGCTAAATTTTTGTGGTTTTCTTTTGGACACGTTAAATGGTAAAAGTCTTAGTTTTAACTGTAGCCACTTTATTTACTTTTGTAATGACTGTTTGGGGCTAATAGTCGTATCTCATGACGTATACCTTGTATTAAATCATCCAGATAAACAAGCAGACGACATAGCTAGTGTCTGCTTTCTATAGTAGTTGATTCGATTTCAAAGATCATCATTTCATAACGAATGAACCCACATAATTCAGAAGTTCCTTCGTCATGATCTCGTGACATTTATTTAAATTAGGCAAGGAATTTCAAAAAATTATTGCATGTATTTTAAAGCCTTGGCAAAAAACTGTCTGGCAAGCTACTCGGGGCATTTTCAGCTTTTGAAAAAAAAAAAATTGGAGATCATGCAAGTTCTTCATTGTGTTATGTACTTGTTCGGGTGTGTTTCTAAATTTTTATTAGCGTAGTAGCATATTAAATCATCCGCAAAAGCAATAACATGTTGAGTATCGTTATTGTTAATGTTGAATGGATTAAATAAATTAGTGTTAAAAATATTATACAGAATTGGGAAGTCAATGGTTCCTTGCTGTATTCCTTTTGTTATTAAAAATATTTTTTTGTATTTTTCACTATTTATTATGACTTTTAATTTTCTATGATATAGTACAATTTCAATTGTTTTTATTGGATGTAATGGAAATTCTTTTTTATGTAGTTTAAATACTAGCCTCTCTAGCCACACTGAATCAAAGGCTTTCTGTACGTCGATAAGGCACGCACCTATTATCTCTCTCTTCTGAGATGTGAGTTAACGTCTCCAAGGAGTTTTTTATTAGTGTGCTTTGTTGAGTGCTGATTTTGAAACCTTAATTGTGTTTTCAGTACTATTTTGTACTTGTCGATAATTTTTTGAATTGATTACTTGATTACTTTTTCGTATACTTCGCTTGGTACCAGAAATAGACCAATTGATCTGATACTTTTAATGTCGATTGCTTTGTTATTATTATCATTTTTTTTTTTTTTAAATTCTTAGTTTGGTCATTTTCCAACTATTAGGGAAGTGTTCATCTTTTATTGCGTTATTGAAAATTGTTATGTAGTTTCTTATTATTTTGGTCGGCAGTTTATTCGTTATTATACTAGGTATGTTACCCCACCTCCTCGATGTTTTGTTGCTCATATACCTTATGCTTCTTTTCACTTCTCTTACATCGGTGAAGATAACACCTTCTTAATCAGAAGGGTTGGTTGCAGTGGATTTGTCGTTGTCCTCGAATTTTGTTATGTTTGGCATTGCTGACATATTTTGGTCCAGATATTGTATTTTTTATTCTATTATATTTCTTAGCATTAAAAATTGATTTGGGTCTATGTTAATTGTTTTCAATTAGTATCCTATTATATAAGAAATTATTTGTGGGTCAGTCATTTTTATAATACTGTTGTTGTTGGAATGTGTGACTGTATTGACATCTATATTTTCTATTTTCTTTAATTCTTCTTTATTGATGTTAAATTGATTTATGTTCATGTTTTATGTTTTTCTGATAATTTTATTTAGTGGTGGAAAGAAGATTTAGTCTTTATAATTTTTTTTTTTTTTAATTGGGTTCATCCAACCTTTATTAGCTATGTTAGTCAATTTGTCTTTTATTTGCATTTTGATAATTTTCATTTTGTCTTTTGAGTTGTATGCAGTTGTTATGCTTTGGTAATATTTTTTTTTATATACTAATTATTTGTAATTTTGTTGGTAATTTGTGTTTGATATTGTATAATTTTTCAAGTTTTTTTATTCAAATTTTCCAGTGGGTCATTCTGTTTAAGTTGGAGAACGGTAATTTGGATTGCCTCATTTATTATATTTTGTATTTGTACATACTTATCTAGTTTAGATAGGTTCGTGTTGCCTGGTATAATTATGTTGTGGTCTTCTTTAAGGAATTTATGAAATTTTTCCAGTTTTTTTTTAATAAATAGACATTGGGGCTTTATGTAGCTTGTCTTATTAGGCTGTTTAATGGAACTTATAAAGTAGTCATGGTGTACCTGAAGATGCAGTCTACCTCTAATGTGTCTGGATATGTATCCGTTGTTTTTATTCTTGTAACTATCAGTGGCAAATCAAAGAAGAAATTGACAGAAGAAAAGTAGCCCTTATCGATTTTAATACTAGGATGATAGCTGGGTGGAGACGGTGACCAGCAGAAAATAGCTGTTGGATAACTGTAAGTAGCGTATCAAAAAGCGCGCATGTACGTATCCTTACTGCTCAGAAGCTAGCAAAGAAGTGACACTGCGGGCCCACTGGCTCGCGATTCTTACGTCTTTTTTTTAGTTACCTTTCTGTATGCATCCCCCCCCCCCCTCAGACCTCCTTATACTATGTGAAAAACCTCCTCAGCCCCTTTACAATTTCCAAAAACATATTCTAAGAAACCCTTGAATCTCCTCTTATAATTTATATGTACATTTAAAGTAACGTTATAGATGAGGTAGGAAACTTTTACTATCTCTGGACTGCCTTTATTGGTCTTCCTTAAGCGTTTCTATACGAACTAATCAATGGAGTATAAACATAACATACTTGTATCTCATTACAATTATCTTCTAGAATTATTTCAAATACTGTAGATCACGTTAACATTATTATTTTTTCGTAAATCATATTTACTTAAACATTTTTAGTAATTCCACAGTCATAATTTTGTTTGTAATTTTACAATTATTGCTATATTACTACAGGTACGAGTTTTGTTAGATTATTATGGATTATCTTATGATGTTGTTGAAGTTGATCCTGTAATGAGGAAAGAAATAAACTGGTCTGACTACAAAAAAGTACCTATACTTTTAACTAAAGTAACTAATGGATATCAACCTTTAAATGATAGTTCTATGGTGATTTCAACTCTTACATCTTATTTACATGACAGAACAAAAAATATCGAGGATTTAGTATCATATTATCCGATTACAGCAGTATATAATGAAAAAGGAAGGCTTCAATATGAAGTTATTAATAAATATTTTCTTATGTATCAAAATTCTATTCCAAAAAATAGGACATTAGATAGTATTGTGTAAGTATTACCGTTTTTAAATAATTTTTTAATTGCCATTACAAAATGCATATTAAAGAAAAAATAATTCATCTCACTTTTTAAAGCGAAGAGCGGGAATGGAGAAAATGGACTGATGAAGTTTTTGTGCACACGCTTTCACCAAATGTGTACAGGACATTACCTGAAGCTTATGAAACGTTTAAATGGTTTTCAAAGGTAATTATAATATCAAAATTCAAAACTGCTAACTATTGCTTTTTAAGTATCACAACATTATGTAGAATTAGCCAAATCAATAAATAACCGAGCTAGAACCTCAAACAAATGGCCTCTGCGATAAAAGAGCCATTAATACGCATATCATCGTCATCGTCATCTTTATCCTCATTATCATTATCGTTGCTATTATCATCCTTGTCTTCGTCGTCGTCACCGTTGCCATAATCTTCGTCGTCAACGTGGTCCTGGTCATCATTATCATTATGTTTAAAAAATTTTTTTTTTCATTTTTGTTTCGTTGTCTCTTAAATGATGAATCCTTATTTTTATTAATTTTTTTTTAAAAACGCATATAATTATCTTAAATCAATTGAAAAAATGGTGTATCTAAGCAAATTAAACTATGCAATTTACAAATGTTCCTCGAGACTTTGAACGTGAAAAATTAAATCATTCTCCGATTCAATCAAGCGTTAATAATTTTCCAAATTTTTTTAATATCATCAAGTCTTCGTTATCTGTAATCAGAGAAAATTCAGCCAACCCAATGACGCAAGTTTATTAAATCGTATGTCTTTCTCTAAATATTTACCTTCATTTTTTTAACCCGATTGGTTAGATTCGGTTTAAAGAAACATTTGAAAACTCCACTTCACTAAGTAATTTCAATGATCGAGAAAATATTTCACGCCTCTAGGATTGTTTGAAAGATAATGCGCGAGATGCAGTGAGAACCTTATTCGCAAGTGGAAGTAGTGTTAAAGAAATATCTAGTGCTTTGGCAATGGGTTTTGGAAATTGAGGAGTAATTTTACAAAAAATCATCAGTTAAATAACAGAATTATCCCGTATTAAGCCTCATAAATTAAAGGGCCTAGCCGTATATAAAGGTAAAAAGTGCCTTAGCTCCAAAAATTATGAAAAAATTCATGTCGACAAAGTTAAAAAAGATAAATTTTTCAAATTTTTTACAGACCCGAAAACCGTTATGGGGTCACTGGGGGCCCAAAAACGTGTTTTTCGGTTTTCCTTAATTTTCCCTGTAATGGAAGCATGAAAAAATCTGAAAAAATTGTTCAAGGTGTATTTTTGTGTTTGTAATATACATGAATTTTTTAAAAAATTAAGGCGCCAAATTCATATTTTGAGGGACGTTAGAAATTTTGAAAAAGGATTGCTTTCAAAAACCTGCCTTAGTGCAGTGCTGAAAAAAACTTCTATTTTATATTATACTTTTTTTTATCATTATGAACTCTTGAAGATTTTTTCAAGCTTGGGGATACATAGAAAAAGAAAAAAAAATTTTTTGGACACTTTTTTTAATTTTTCCGATATAACGTCTTCAATATGCCACCAATAGTTGATAAAATAACACTGTAGTCATTTTTAGTCTTAAAACGATTTATCTTGTTCTTGCAGATACATTTTGCTATAAAGATGTATGATAAAAAAGTGTAAACGATTGATAAAATCAGTAAAAACTGGAAAAAAAAATAAGAAAATGGATTTAATTCACATCCGAGTAGAGAGAGCTTCAATCTCACAATGGAGCGTGCTTTAATCACATTTCCCTCACACTAAGGGTGTTTTTTTCTCATTTCATTTAAGAAAATGACGTACTTGATGACGGGAAACATGAGGAAACCGACAGTTAGTCAGATTCCATCATAAAACTGCATACATTCGTATGTTGTGAGGAAGAAGTACTTCTTTACACCGTGTGCGTTTAAAATATGCCATTCAATTCTGTTCGCGGCTCACCTGTCGTTAGAGAAAGAGGGCGAGAGCTGTCGATGAAGTAAGATAGGTAAGAAAGGCTAGGTAGAATAGAGAGAGAGAACGAAAAAAGGGTGGTTGAGTTGGATAACAAAATGCTTCCTGAAGCCGCAACTTATTGTTAAGTCACTGGACTTTTACATAACTTATTCGGTAAAAGATTTTATGCAAATAGTGATATATTCATTAAACTTCTATCTTAAGTACAAAAACATAAGAATAAAAAAAAATACTTTGGCTGAACAAGCAGAGTCAGGACGATGGAGCCGTAGAAAGAGTAAATTTAGTAAACTAATATCTTGAGATTTGGAGGATCTTCCTGAACTGACTGAAAGAGAACTAAAAATATTATTTACAGAATCGTATCAGCTAAACCAAGCAGTTTATTATTTAGCAGAAGTAAAAGATGAGAAAAACAATTTGATTATAGAGTTTTTAAAAGAGACTTCTACGGTCATAAAGTTCGAAATTCAGTCCAGGCACATTTAGAACAAAGTATACGTTTGTTTCATTGAGTATAGCCCACAAACAATAGAATGCAGTGCAATAAAAAGGTATTGCTGTGAGTGCGCAATTGGAAAGAGAACTGTTGGTTGCTGTTCACACGTAGCTCAGATTATTTATTACTTATCATTTGCGAGATACCAGTCTAGAATCGTAAAACCAGCTAAAAAGCTTTCAGAAGTTTTTATGAATACTAATATTATTCCTGTGATCAATATGAGAGTGATCAAGATTCAATTAAAAGGGTTTGATTAACAAAAGATCAATAATGTTATGAAGAGTATGCGACAATGATTGTATTTAGTTTTTTTTTTTTTTTTTGTTTTTAATACATCATAAAGAAACAAGAAATATCTGTATTGTACAACGTTATTAGAAAATTGGAAATAAGTGATTTTTCATTGTTTTGTACATTTTTTTCATTTACTGACAAAAAAATTAATAATTCTGTTCCAGATTTTATAATTTACTCAATTTTTTTTTCTAGATTTCATGAACGAATTCAATTTTAATGATAATTATCAAACTGGAATTAACATCATCAGAAAATGAAGAATTACATTTTCTCAATTTTTTTTTCATTTTTTATTCATTTTAGCAATCGTATAAACTTCTTTATGATACTTCTGCATAGAAAAATGTATCTGGAGGAAGAATATAAATGGTTATAAGACTAAGACTGACTACAGTGTTATTTTATCAACTATTAGTGCCATATTGAAGCCGTTATATCGAAAAAATCGATAAAAATGCCAGAAAACGTTTTTATTTTCTTACTATATGTCCCCAGGCTTGGAAAAATCTAAAAAAATTCATAGTGACGGAAAAAAATAATAATATAACATGTAAACTTTTCATAGCGCTGCACCCAAGCAGCTTTTTGAGAACTGTCCTTTTAAAACTTTTTAACGTCCCTCAAAATTTGAATTTGGTGCCTGAATTTAAAAAAAAATTGATGTATATTTCAAACACAAAAATACGCTTTTGCGAATTTTTCAGATTTTTTCATGCTTTCAATACCGAGAAAATTAAGAAAAACCGAAAAACACGTTTTTGGGTCTCCGGTGACCTTATAACAAGTTGGAAGTCTAAAAAAAATTTGAAAAATGTTTTTTTCCAAATTTAATTGACATGAATTTTTTCAGAATTTTCAGAGCTAAGGCACTTTTTACTTTCTTATATGGCTAGGCCCTTTTGTTGAATTCGCAAGCAACTTAAAAAACGCAGTAAATGCTTTAAAAATTTGAATGATAAAACTCATTTATTTACTGCTAAATGAACTTAAAAAATAATGTAAAAACTTCCGGGCTCAGTACTGAGGAATTATGCACGTTTTTTTACTACTAAGAATGCTGATAAGTCCGATTTAGAGAAGTTGGCAATTTTTTTTACACAACGAAGCAAAAATGAATCTTGAGGCTGGCGTTTTTAAAAAAACCATAAAGCAGTTTGTCAAAAGAAAAAACTGAGCGTACAACACGTAAAGCTACTGTACTGACAACTAATGCGGTCGATTCTAGTGTGAAAATTTTTTTTAAAGAAGTAGACTTGACTAAAAGGTGTTCTTTTTGTGATCGCAGATCATCTTATAACCGATTGTAGAGATTTTAAAAATACTCCATCAGTCCAGCGTTGAGTTTTTGCACAAAATAAATGTTTATGTTTCATTTGCCCTAACATAGGTCATATTCATGAAAAATGTAAAAGTGACAGTTGTAAAAGTAACTAAGAGGTTGGCGGCTTATATTGTCTTTTGTGCGTTTTTAAAATGGTACGGTAAATAATTTGTTTCGACTAAGTTGCGATTGGTTAAAAGATCTGTAATAATAATGTTCTTGTTTTTGAGACAGTGTGTATTCTGACTTCGGACAGTAGCTATTCGGATATGTTCCGTGTATACTCTGTAGAATAAGCCGTAAACACTCCATGTAGATGACATCTAGATGGTATGTGTTTTCGTTATGTTCCGTAATGTTCCGTTAAAACTATTGTCTATAACACCCGACATCATTTCTGGTAAGAAAAACAAAACTCCGTAAGGCCACGGTAACACGGTGGTTTAGGTTGTGGTTCTTATAGCTTGGGAACTTAGTAATAGGGGCTTTTGAGTTTGAGACTCGATGCATGCATATATATGGGTTATTCTTTGACAAACTGAACAGATTTTGGTAAAAATTAATCGTCACCTCTCCCATTTAGCTAAAAAATTTTTTTCCAGTTTCTATATTAAAAAAAAAAAAATACTTGTCCAAAGAATTTTTTTTTTCGCCTATTTTCAATTTTATAAGTTACAACAAATTTCGTAATAGTGGTTTAAGACTCATTTAAGAGGAACACCTTTAACATTTGCACCAACTTTTCCATGTCCTGTGCAAGGCTAGGCTCTGCATCAACCCACACAAGGACCCTTGGACAATACTAAGTTGACTACCTACCGTAGGCTACACCGTCATGGATGATGGAATCCGTCCATCTGCTCACAAAGTCCAAGGCACTTTAGATTACCCAAAGCCTCAGAACTCCGCCATTGTGGAGCATGAATGCCCACGTGTTACCTAGAGACCGATCGGTTTGTAAAGTGAAGCTTTTTATGGAATGTTCGAGATCTCGACTTGAGAAGTACTGACTTCATAAAAACTGACATAATTTTTCGACTTGGTCACATAGCCTCTCTCTCCTACTTTTAGCGGCTGTGAATTGTACTTACACATATAATA